TTTTCATATTCACAAAACCACACCAGTTGAAGATTTCTGGGAAAATTCTCATGTTTACAGGATACAGAATTCCCTATTTTTTTCTAAATCTAACAGTCACTCAAATCCCAACAGCTGAGATGAAAAGGCTTTGGCCTTCCCTGGATACTCTCCCTACTTCTTTGCTCTTTATGCTTGACAAGATGAAAACAAAAGCCTGTATGAGAGACCGAGTAAGACTGTGGATATGTGCAATTCATGGCTACAAAGGTCTCTCAGGAGAGAGATACTCCTCCCTTGGCCTCCCAGGGCAGCCAGGCACAGAGCTGCTGTCGTTATAAGCTGAGCTGGACATTTATTTTTTTCCTCCTGTGCCTGCAGTCAGTACCTGAGCTGATGCTCCACCTGCTGGAAAGAGCTACGTGTGCTCCAAAATTCTGCAAGTTCTTTCTGTGTGCAAAAGGTCATCACTGAAATCTCCAAACACCACCTTGTGTCAGCAGACAAAAAGGTAGCCAAGATTTAGCTTGTTTAAGATCCTGTTCCAAGGGGTCTGTTCAGTGTGCAGATCTTGTGGTGCCTTTGAAACCTTCTGTTTTGACTTTACAGAGTAAAGAGCAACAGGACAACTGTGACTCTATGGACAAACTGCTACTGTGCAATTAAAATTGCAGCTTTAGATTTGAAGTGAGGAAGAAATTATTTACTCAGAGAGTAGTAAGGCCAGGAGGCCAGGGAAATGCTCCAAGGGCTGGAGCCCCTCTGCTCTGGATCCAGGCTGGGAGAGCTGGGAATGCCCAGCCTGGAGAAGAACAGACTCCAGGGAGAGCTCAGAGTCCCTTCCAGAGTCTGAAGGGGCTCCAGGAGAGCTGGAGAGGGACTGGAGACAAGAGATGGAGGGGCAGGACACAGGGAATGGCTGTAAACTGAAGAAGGGTAGGATTAGGTGAAATATTTGAAAGAAATTCTCCACTCTAAAGGTGGTGGGACACTGGTGCCAGGTTGGACAGCGCTGGGAGCAACCTGGTCTGGTGGAAGGTGTCCCAGCCTGTGGCAGGGGGTGGAATGAGATGAGCTTTAAGGTTACTTCAGCCCAAACCATTCCATGATTCTGATGCCAAGTAACATTTTTACAAAGAGTTTGATCTGCGTTAACTTGTTTGGGGCAAGAACATAAAATGAAGCTGAAAAGCTGCTGCACTGTTTCTTTTCCTCTCATTTCTACTAACCTTACTGTCCTCTGAATTTTTCCAATACTAACATAAAAGAAGCAAAAAAAATAAAAACCCCTGAATGAATTCAACAGTGTAAAACATCTGCTGGGGGCTGCCAATACTACACATACAGCAAGTTAAAATAGGAATTGGGAAAAAATAAAGCCTCAAGGTAGAAATGCATCTGGCAAGATCAAAGTCAGACAGCTCGTACTACACTCTTACAAGGAAAGTTCTTTTATGAGTTATGTTATGATTTACAGTGGCCTTTGTTTCATTAAACTCAAACACAGATGCTTCAGATCCATCTACAAGGATGCCTGAAAGAAACCTCCTGACCCTCAGGCAGCCTGAGCCACTGCAGTTGGCTGCTCTGTGTGCGCCACATAAATAATGATGAGAGGGGCAGCTCCAATCTCTGCTCCCCAGGACCTGAGGGAACGGCTGGGGCTGTGCCAGGGGAGGTTTGGGCTGGATACAGGGCAAGGTTCTTCCCCCAGAAGGTGCTGGGCACTGCCCAGGCCCCCAGGGAATGGGCACGGCCCCGAGGCTGCCAGGGGTGGCCAGGGTGGGGTTGTTGGGGTGTCAGGGCAGGGCCAGGGGCTGCACTGGGTGATCCTTGTGGGACCTTTCCAGCTCAGAATATGCTATGATTTCTATGGTTCCAGAAGTCTGAAAATAAAATAATAAACATATCTCTGACACAGAACATTAGTCTGACAGTTAGCAAACATTTCCCAGTCCAGAAGAAGCCAAGAATGTCAGAACCATCCCTGATGAATTGGGATTTGCAAGGAAAATTGCTGTTAGAAAAGTTAGAGAACTGCTGGGAAATGATAACTTTCCATCTCACTAAAGCCAAATACTTGAGAACACAGAAGCAGAACCTCTTCCCTTCCCAAAAAAGAACCACTTTAATAAATAATAAATTGTTTCATTTTGTCTGTTCAGTTTTAAGTTTCTAGGGAATAGCTGAGTGATATTTTCAAATGTATTTCGATAACCATAGAAGCTGTAATTTCAGAGACAGATTATTCTCTTATCTAACTACAACTTCTAAGGACAACACCAAAGAATTTTCTCTGTTGTAGTTCTTCTCAGCAGCAAATAGTGAAAGATTCGCTAATGCCCAAAGGGAAAAACTGCAGACAGTTCAGATCCAAATTTTGTGATGTTTGACAGTGCTAATGAGTGATAATGAGCAACACTTGAGATCACACAGAAATGACTAATATTCAAGCTATCAAACCCCTCCTTTATGATTTAGTCCAGATAACTTTTTCAAGCCATGGATAACTGTATGCCAGAACAGTCCCTGCTTTGCCTGACATCCACACAAAGCAGGGATGGAAAAGGGGATGTGCACCATTGAGTCCATCTCCACTGCAAAGCTCACACCACTGAAGAGAGCTGCTTATTTCCCATCAGCAGCTTCAGGAAAATAAAGTTAGCTAAGAGACTTATTCCTCAACATCTTATTTCCAACAGCCAAAGAAAGGCCTGTGTGTCTGCCTGAGAGCCCACCTCAGCGCTGTATCCAGCTCTGGGGCTCCCAACATCAGAAGGATGGAGAGCAGGAGAGAGTCCAGCAGGAGAAAGTCCAGAGGAGGCCAGGGAAATGCTCCAAGGGCTGGAGCCCCTCTGCTCTGGCCAGGCTGGGAGAGCTGGGGGAGCTCACCTGGAGAGGAGAAGGCTCCCGGGCGAGCTCAGAGCCCCTGAAGGGGCTCCAGGAGAGCTGGAGAGGGACTGGGGACAAAGGATGGAGGGACAGGACACAGGGAATGGCTTCTCACTGGCACATGGCAGCATTAAATGGGATATTTGGATTAAATACTTCCCTGTGAGGGTGGGCAGGCCCTGGCACAGGGGGCCCAGAGCAGCTGTGGCTGCCCCTGGATCCTTGGCAGTGCCCAAGGCCAGGCTGGACAGGGTTTGGAGCAGCCTGGGACAGTGGGAAGTGTCCCTGCCATGGCAGGGTCTGGAAATAGCTGTTCCCTAAAGTCCCTTCCAACTCAAACCATTTGTGACCTGCAAAGGACAGAAGGATGTGGTAAAAAGGCCTAAGACACTCAGCTACTTATCCCAAACTATTCTTTTCCTCAGGTGAAAATAACAATTGAAAGCATAAACAGGCAAAGGTATAAAAATGTCACAACAGAAAATAAGCGAAGTTACTATTCCTTATTTACAAACTTACAAAACATTGTTCAAGGAACATTAAAATTATCAGGATAGATATAACCTGTAAATACCCGAATTACCAATGCTTCTGTAACAATCACCACTAAATATTTACACTTCCTAAAGATTCATTATAGCTACCAAAGAAACACAAAGGGAAAAAAAAAACAAAGCAGAGGAAGACCCCACAGCTCTGAGCACGAGAACAAACAGTAAAATCTTTTACAAATGCATGCCAGAAGTGGCACATTGTGTCAGAATATGAGTATATAGCCAGGGATTACAAGTAATCCTCAAATAGGAGGATATTACGAGTAAGAATACGAGTAATAGGTGAGGATCAAAACTTTTAAATGGCATTTTGAAATGAAATTTTAAAATGGCGTTTGAAAACTAGAATTTTATAATGGCATTTGAAAGCCAGAATTTTTAAATGACATTAAAAAACCAGAATTTCGAGGATCGAAATTTTTAAATGGCATTTTGAAACTAAATTTTTAAATGGCATTTAAAACCAGAATTTTAAAATGGCATTTGAAAACTAGAATTTTATAATGGCATTTGAAAACTAGAATTTTATAATGGCATTTGAAAGCCAGAATTTTTAAATGACATTAAAAAACCAGAATTTTAAAATGGCGTTTTGAAACGAAATTTTTAAATGGCATTTTGAAATGAAATTTCGAAATGGCATTTTAAACCAAAGTTTTCAAATGTCATTTTAAAACTAAATTCTAAAATGGCATTTGAAAACAAAATTTGAAAACGGCATTTTTAAAGCGAAGTTTTAAAATGGCATTTAAACCAGAATTTTAAAATAGCATTTAAATCCAGAATTTTAAAATGGCATTGTAAACGAAATTTTAAAATGGCATTTCAAAACAAAATTTTAAAATGACATTTTAAAACGGCATTTTGAAATGGCATTTTTAAAACGGCATTTAAGGACCACAATTTTCCAATGGCATTTTAAAGCAAAATTTTCCAACGGCATTTTAAACCAAATTTTTAAAATGGCATTTAGACCAGAATTTTAAAATAGCAATTTAAATTCAGAATTTTAAAATAGCATTTTAAAACAAAATTTTAAAATGGCATTTTTAAAACGGCATTTTTCCACAATTTTCCAATGGCATTTTAAAGCAAAATTTTTAAGTGGCATTTTAAACCAGATTTTTAAAATGGCATTTAGACCAGAATTTTAAAATAGCATTTAAATCCAGAATTTTAAAACAGCATGTTAAAGCAAAATTTTAAAATGGCATTTTTAAAACGGCATTTTTCCACAATTTTCCAATGGCATTTTAAAGCAAAATTTTTAAGTGGCATTTTAAACCAGATTTTTAAAATGGCATTTAGACCAGAATTTTAAAATAGCATTTAAATCCAGAATTTTAAAACAGCATGTTAAAGCAAAATTTTAAAATGGCATTTTTAAAATGGCATTTTTAAAATGGCATTTAAAGACCACAATTTTCCAATGGCATTTTAAACCAAAATTTTCCAACGGCATTTTAAACCCAATTTTTAATGGCATTTAGACCAGAATTTTCAAGCGGCATTTAAACCGAGCCCGAGAGCGGAGCAGCCGCTCCCCCGGGCACCGCTCTTGGGCACCGCTCTTACCTGGCTGCGCCTTGCCGGGATGCTGCTGTGCTGCTGCTCCCTGCTGAGGAGGAGGAGGAGGAGGAGGAGGAGGGCTGGCTCACTGCGCTGCTGCCGTGCCCGGCGCCGGGCCGGGGGCACTCAGAGCCCCGGCGGGCAGTGGCTGCCCCCGCTTTAGGAGCTGCTTCTGTTCCTGCTGGCGGAAGCGGGGAGGCACCTCTCGGGGCAGGTATCGGGACGCCGCAGGCTGCTGCCCGTTGGCAGACGCGCGCTTGCCATTGCTGCTGTTGGTGAGAGTGCTGGTGGAAGTACTGGTACCGGTACCGGCAGGTTGGGGCTGGCTTAAACTGGTCTTAATAGGTTCTGGCACTAGGGTAAAAGAAAATAATCATCGTTGGTTTAAGATCTGGAAAGTTATCGGGGTTTTTTTTTTTAATGTAACGGGTAAAATGATGGTTTGCAGCCACTGAGAAGTTGGCGGTGTGTGTTAATTTTTGTGTAGGCTTACTTTCTGTGATGGTACTGGAACAAATCATCTGTATGGTCTAAAACAGGGAGGAGGACAAAAGAAAGCTTTGACAATTCAGTATTGAACAGAATGCTCATTTCTGCTGCACCCACCTTGAGCCCCCACTGCCTTTACAGTTCAGCAGTTTTGGGGGCGACCTTGCCAATATTAACATCAAATCCCAGGGCCTACAGCCATGAAAACAAACATTTTCAGGCTCCTAATAAGCTCCCAAAAAAACAAGCTAAAAGACCTGATCCACCAGCTTATTCAGCACTCGCACAAACTTTGGGTTTCTTGCGTTTGGTCACACAAACTTTTGGGTTTCTTCTGTTTGCATCTTGTGTTTGGGTTTCTTTGTTTGCATCAAACACTTAGGACATCCCAGCCACCAACATGTGCACTCCAGGCACAGATGTGATACCTCCCTGAACAAGCCAGGCCACCCTGGAATGTGCCTGCACACCTGGCACCACTGACCAAAAGTGCCAGGTCCTTTGGGACAGGCAGGAGGGAGTGGGAGGATGGCAGCCCTGGCTCAGCTCACCTGGCAGCAGCTGCCAGAGCTCTTCGGTCACCCAGAGAAACTCTTGGAGCTTCTGGGATGAACAGAAGCAAGCACTGCTCCAGCTCATCACAAGCCATGTCCAACAAGTGCAAAATTGCAGCTCTTCAGTCACAGAAGATGCTGAGTGGGAAGGGACACACAAGGATCATCCCCCAAGTGCTGGCCCCACACAGGACCCTCCCCAGGAGTGCCACCTTCTGCCCAAGGACACTGTTCAAATGTAGCCTGAACTCTGTCAGTGCCACTACAAACCCACAGCCAGCTCTCTCCAGGCTCTGACACACCTAGAAAACAACAACTTCTACAGCTGCAGCAGCGAACAGCGCCAAGGGAATGCCAAGGGTGGCTTCAAAACAAGCAGGGACTTGACCAAGCAAAAATATGCCAAAACATCTGACAGAACCATCAGCACTTCACTTCTCCAAGCTATCTGTTTTGGAAGCCTAAATAATTTCACCTGTGATTCTGTCTGCACAAAAAAGGAACTCTAAGTATATAAAAAAATATGAAGTACCACTAATACCTGAAGAGCAGAGAACAAACCTTCCTTAGCTTTTCAAAGTACACAATCACCTTTGGAAACAAACAGTTTATCCTTATTTTGAAATTTAAAAAGTAGATAGAAAGTATCATGGAATGCAGAGTAATTATTTTCAAACACCAAATCCGCATATGCATGTGAAAACTATTCTGTTTCCACAATACAAATAGATCATTCACCTGATAGAAAATAAGTCTGACTTCATTGTACTGTGTTTATTTTAGCTCCTATTGCTTCTGGTACTACTGGTACAGCAATGTAAGCATTTACCTCTACTACCACTAGCATCACAGAGATGCAAACATTTACAAACAGTGAGATCTGAAGGACTCAGGATTTCTGCAAAGTCATTTACCACAAGGTTCACCCAGAGCACTGCAGACACCGGCTGATCAACCAAAAATAACCCAGCATGGCAGCCAGGGAGCTTCTCCAGCTCGGCTGACAGACCAGGCACACACCCCCTGGTGCCAGCAGATCAGAGGGAATGCCAGGGAAGAGGAGGAAAAGGACAAGAGAATGGAAACCACTCACTGGCACGATGCCAGCAGAGCTGGGATTTGTCTGGCCCCAAGATTTTCATAAGGAATATTAATTAATTGGAAACATATTTTAGAGAGCAAGACAGGCAGCTTTTTAAAAAGCATTATATTCTCAATATTGTGTATATATAGATCACATCTGATATTCCCAAAGAGGTGTGCATATATCTATATTTTTTTTAAATCACTAATGCAAGTCATAGAATAGACAACACTTTTCACTTTATTGTAAACTAACAAACGTGTTTCATCACAAAGGTGAGGCCAGAGAAACCCATTTTCCCAGTGTTAGAGACAATGTTCCTTCTACATATCTGAATCACAAATGAGAGAAAAGAACAAAGAAAATCAAAATATCACTGTACTTTAGAATTAAAATATTTCTGCATATTCATGCTGTTTTTTCTCTAATCAACACAGCAAAGTAATTTTGATTTTGTCCATCAAAATCTCTTTAAAGAGTACCTAAATGGAAGCTCTTGCAAGAATACTATGTCTGCAAATCATGGCAGCTGGAAAAGAACTGTTTAATTACAAAATGACAGTGACAAAGCAAGAAGAGCGAACAACATCACACAAATGGGCTTGAGCCCTAAATTCCAGTTTCATACCAGGCTGGAATTTAGACTTCAAACACAGCAACAATACTTTGAGAATACACATTACAAAGACAATATGATTGTGTTCTAAAAGCCGTCCTCAGCAATGTTTAACCAGCAATTTTCACTTGATATGCACTGTGAGAAATACCAAATGTTCCAAGTGTCTGCCCTGGATGTCCTAATCCTGCATTGCTGTGTGATATTGGCAGTAACAGCATCTTTCTACAGCCTTGAGCCATTCCCTCTCCTGCAGGGCTGCCCCCTGAGATGATGGGTGCCCCTTGCAGCACCCACAAAGGTTTTTCCCCGCTGTGGGCACAAGGGCAGAGCAGCAGGAGCCTCTCCCACTGGAGCTCTGCTCTCATCAGCCCACAGAGAGCCCTGGCACCCCCAGGAGCAGCCTGCCCACCCTTCCACCTGCAAGGAATCCACTGTCACTGCTAATGGCATGTGGGCAGCTGCTGGAAAGCAGGGAATTAAAACACAGAATTTAGCCATTTTATGGCTAAATTTGCCCGAATGCGAAAAATGTTGTTTAAATTGTGTGGGGGAAAGGATTTAACAGCCAGTGATTTTCATAACCAGCACGTGATTAAAGAGCTAAAGCAAAAACATTTAAGTGGAAAGGCTCTTGCAAAAATACAATTAAAGGCGTAAAATGAAAGCCTTGAGATTGCTTGCTCTTAAGATGTTGGTGATGGGTATCTGCTTACTCTCCATTCCGAGCTGTACACACACTAAACAATGAGCTTGCTTGTAATAATTATCAGTACTTAATGGTATCTAAACTTCTTAATCCAATTTTACCCAAACAAATCCAATAATTACTCCATATGCTTTTTGATGATTACAATCTTGGGAATCCCAACTGCATAAAAAAGTGTTACGAGCAATTGTAGGTGGATTTTATTAATATAATGAATAGGATCAGTCTAACAGATTTCAATTACAACAATAGCTTTTAAGTACATTTCTATGACATAAGGAAAGAACATGCATAAATGAAAGAAACTGGTTAAGCCACATAATACTGATTTATGGCAGCTTTTTCCTTTCATTCACCTCATTAACATTTCTCTGTATTTCAGAATCCCCCACTCCAGCTCTACAAAACTTGCATTTCTAAAGCCTTCAAGGACCAGACATTCCAGAAGAGAAACAGTTAAACCCAGAAATGCATTCTTGGCTGCTACTGTGACAGGATTTATTTACAGCTTCTATTAAACACAGCAGCTCCATTACAAAGTGCTGGATGTGAGGAGAATTTTTGATTATACAATGCCAATGCCTCACTGCGTTAAACATATCATGCCAGTGTATTATTTTTTTCCTTCAGCAATTCGTTCAGGTCATTGTTTGATGGGTTTATGAATTCATTACAGGAAACAGATGGATCCCATAATTCAGAGCTATTCTCCCAGCCAATCATTTGGGCAATTTTTTTCCTCATCTTGCTCCCCCCTCCAAATCAACCTTAATGAAGCCACTTCCTCCACGGCCAGTTCCCTGCACACACACACACACACTGCAGCACATCACTGCTGGTTTCACCTCCCTCCAAACACTAAAGGCTTTCCAAATAAAGCTGAGCAGGAGCACAATCCCACAGACACCCCCTCCGAGGTCACACAGAGCACCAGGAACTTACCCAAGTCGGGTGAAGGCAGCCACCAAACACGGCATTAGGGTGGGCAAAACCACAAGTCCTCATTAGTGAGAAACCCATTTTTATTTGCTCACAGAAGTCTGTTGCTGGGAAAATATTCTTGCCTCCCCCCCCAATCTACTTTCAAAGGCTGAATTTTCATTTAGCAAATTACCTCCTTTGTCTCCCAAGTGCTGGGATTTGCTATCCACAGTGACATCTGCTGGCAACAGCAAAGGTGCTCAGAACTATTGCATAAAGCCCACTTCTAATGTTTTTACACATAAAATGCCAAATTTTCTGCCTGGATCATCCCTTCCCCCAATATCATGAACTTCTGGGGAGAAAAAAACTGCAGTCTAATGACAAGATAATCCCAAAACTTATAACAGCTTTAATAATGTAACCAGAAGCTGCTGTTTGACATCAACGCCCACATTGAATAATAAAAGTAAAAATACACGAGTTATTGTGCCTTTAGAACTTTGTCACCATTTATGTAAAGAAATGCCTTGACCTTGGGCCAATTCCTGATGATATCATTTATCTAATACCCAGAACAAATAAAGTCTTTTCTATGTTTAACTTCATTTCCCCCCTCACAGTTGACCATAGTGCAGCTTCTTCTGCTTCCTCTTCCAGACGTTTCCTCTCCACTTTCTTCTCTTGTCCTTTACAACACTTCCTTCCTTAAGTCTTTCACCACCCCAGTTTGAAAATCTTATCTAAAACCCACTTCTCTTGACAGACTTCTCACTTCTACCAACTTGGACCTTCTATACAGAACTTGATTTTTTTTTTCTTTTTCCAGGCAACTGGAAGTCAGAGTAGGAATTAAAAGAAAGCTGCAAAGTTCATGGAAAACTTCTAAATCAGTTACTGGAATTTCTCATCAATAGAAGGTCTTATGTTCTTAAGTGCTGGCTTTATGCAAAAAGTATGAAATAGAGAAGCATTGAGGAT